TGGCAGTCTGTGTGGGCAAATGAAGACCCACAGTGGTTTAAGTTGGGACAACACAGAGCCCCCTCAAACTTCAAAAGAGCTCTTGCTATGTTACAGTAGGTACAAATATACATTGCATAAGCGTTCACACACTAAAGAAAGATAGCCATCAAAGGCTGATGCACAGAAAGCACCGGCTATGAAATCTTGGGTTCTCAGAAAACTCAATTAATCAAAATATAACATTGCTGAAACGCTGAGCCAATTTACCCGTACAATGTTTCTAAGGAGTGATTTCAATGTTTCTAAGGAGTGATTTCCTATACAATGTCTTCATTTCCCACACACTGTTTCTTTACTTTTTCCAACTATAAAAAGATCTGGCTAGGGCTTTTCATACGCAGAAAGAGTAAAATATCTCCCTCCTCACTCTGCCCACTCTGTAGGAGGAGTCTGATTTCCTTGAACAGAGCAGAGCGTTGCCTCTTACAGTTGGCAGAATGCTTGCACACATGTAATCCCATTTGGTCCTCAAAATATTACAGTGAGGGAAACAAATGTACTAATCTCCATGTGGAAACAGAGGCTGGGAGACGTGAAGGGATTTGTCTAAAGGCTCACCCCCGATCACTGGTAGAGCCAGACTAAAATACAGATCTTCTGCCTCTCAGGGAATGCTCTTTCTGAAGCTCTGTGCCAATCCCGCCCCCTCTCTGTGGTGTGAAGTCGGGGCTCACACACTGGGGAGGTAGAAGGGCTACACCCACACTGCTTGGCCCGTGGCCAGCGCATGGGCAATTATTACTTATCCTGAATATCCCTCAACCGGCGTTGTGGCTTTCTATTCTAGAAATGCATCCTTTTCTTCCCTTTTCCCACCTGCTTAGCCATTCTCTCTCATTTCACTGTTGGTTCATTAATTTCTTGCCCTCAAAGGACCACATTTTCTCTCTCTCCTTGAGGTACAATGACAAATCATGGTCTAGTTACTAACCTTGCTTCTCAATAGCTACCAAGCTTTCTCTACCCTCCAGGTCAACACTAAACCTCTCTCTTTGCGGAAGGCGTTAGGGCATTTCACAGCTAAAGCTGCCAGAATGTTAACATCAAACATTCGAAAGATCAAGACATACATTTGCATTCCATTTCAATGGTTTTAATGTTAATTCAGATTATTTGGTTACCATTACGAACCTGGTACTTGCTTTTGTCTTTTTTCTACGGTGATAATGTGAAGCTAGAAAGACTGACAGATTAAGAAAGGAGTGGATAGTGAAAAAAGTAACATAGAACACTTTTGTGGAAAACAATAAAGATATTAAACCGGTTATTTATTAGGAAGAAATCCCCCACCATAGTAGGTTAACATCTGTCATGTTCTAAGAATCACTTAGTAGTCTCTCACTTGAATTTATACAGAGGCTACCTATAAAACCCGCTTGAAAGGTTTAAGAAGGATCTTGTTTTGATCGTGTTTGATAACTGAAGGCCAGTTCTGCAATCTTCTGCAGCATTCTCAGAGCTCTGCTGAACACGGCACAGCCTCGGGGGTTTCGGTTGTCTCTCAGAGCCTCCTGGCAAAAAAACAGGCAGCGAGGAGGGAAGCTCCAGGGCTCTAGGGTCAGAGATGCATGGGTTTGAAGCCCTTAAGCAAGTCACTCAAACTCTCTAAGCTTCAGTTTCCTCATCCTTGAAATAGGGAAAACAATTCCAACTCATGAGGTCATTGAAAGCACATTAAATAAAATAGTACAAGTAAGATTCCTGGTACTCAAACCATTGTGGCTTTTACTGAGTTCCATTTAATATGAAGGAGAATTCTCCTGAGTTTCCCAAAGAATGTGTCCTAAGGCATTCATCAAAGTTTTTTCAAAAAAAAAAAAGAGGAGGAGGAAGGGGAAGAAGAGGAATAGAAGAGGAAAAAACAAATAGCCTTTGTGTAAATTTCTTCCCCTTGCATGCGTTTCACTTCACACGCCTCCCTAAAATTGCCAATATTTCTTTATGACACTGAAAGCTCTTCAGGCACTGGGACGATGTCTCCTTTTCGGTCTTCCCAAAAGTAGCACAGTGCCCAGCACTTGCTGTTTTTCTTCTCAGTGGGCAACCCCGACTAGAAAAATTAATTCTCAAGGCTCTACTAGCGGACGTTCTCCCTTTGTGTATGGCTCTACTCTGGTTTTGAGGAATCCGCAAATTTGCGTGAATGGTTTCCAAGGAGTAGGGTGGGAGATCTAAGTTTTCAAAGTAAATGGAGGCAAAGATCAGCAAAAATAAGAATAACAATTAGGATATTTGCAGAGTCAAGTTACCATTCTAAAGATCACTTTGGATTTTCAAAGGGAGAAATGCATGTTTACAATGGGAAGACCTAGCAATCACCCACTCAACCAAGTGATTAAATTTTTTTAAGATTATTATTTATTTATTTATTTATTTGACAAAGAGAGGCTCAGTGAGAGAGGGAACACAAGCAGGGCAAGTGGGAGAGGGAGAAACAGGCTCCCTGAAGAGCAGGAAGCAATATGCGGGTTCGATCTCAGGACCCTGGGATAGTGACCTGACCTGAGCCGAAGGCAGATGCTTAACAACTGAGCCACCCAGGTACCCCTGCCGAAGTGACCACCCAGGTACCCCTGTCGAAGTAACCACCCAGGTACCCCCGCCGAAGTGATTAAATTTTTTTTTAAAGATTTTATTTATTTATTGACAGAGAGAGAGATCACAAATAGGCAGAGAGGCAGTCAGAGAGAGAGGGGGAAGCAGGCTCCCTGCAGAGCAGAGAGCCCGATGCGGGGCTCAATTCCAGGACCCTGGGATCATGACCTGAGCCGAAGGCAGAGGCTTAACTCACAGAGCCAGGTGCCCCCCAAGTGATTAAATTTAACATCACTAATGAATGGCCAGATACATGTAACATAAAACACACCACATTACCTTGAAGCTGTCTGACCAAAAATGTTTTGTCTGAATCTATTCAAACCTTTAGGCTGAACTGTCAGTACACAAGAAATAGGGGGGATGGAGGACAAGGTAAGGGACACCACAAGGAAATAATCAGATAAATCTAGAATGTAGAACATTCTACATATTGACTAGACTTGTCCCTTCAAAAAATCTATATCATGAGAAAAGAAAAAAGCTAAGGCACTTTTCTAGATGATAAAACCACTAAAAAGTTTAGGGACCAAATGCAATGTATGAGCATCTTGGTTTCCTCCTGGCTGGAAAAATATATAGTTATCAAAGACATTGAGGGGGACCATTGAAGAAATTTGAATATGGACTGGATGTTTGATGATATTAAGGAATGATTATGAACTTAGCAAGTTAAAGTACCTGTTTGTATGTAAAAGAAAGTCCTTGTTCTTATAAGATACATGCTGGAAACTAGGGATGTCTATAATTACTTTCAAAGGGCTTAGCCCCCCAACCGAAACAAAATATTATGTACATACATACATACTCACAGGTTGATAAAGTAAATATGAGAAAATGAGCAATTACTGAGTCTAGGTGTGGAAATATTGGTGTTTATGGACTGTTTCAAATTTTCTAGATGTTTGAAATTTTTTGTAATAAATGTTAGAAAACAAGGAGGCAAAAGTAACAAGCAAGCTAGTGCTCTCTGCCCTGAATGAAATTTTCTTTCTCTTGTATTTAATAATAAAAATAAATTATAAAACTCTTGTCCTAATGTATTTGGGCCAGTTACTGGGGACTACACATGGTTCAGACACCCTCTACAATGGATTCTGGGAATGGCAGTTGTGCTGAGGAAAGAGCAGAGCCGTCTTAAAGGGGTGTCATTTTCACTATCCTTTGAAACCTCGTTAGTTTCACACCAAAGATCCTATCAGCACATGGCTAGTAAAATGATAAGTATAACTGGTATTTGCTTCTTTACCATTTTTTTTATAAAGTACAATCCTTTCTCTTCTTTTAGCCAGACTCCAGTATAGAAATATAGAAGAACAAAGATCTCATCTAGCATGACTGCTCTTCACCCTTTTCAAGGGTTCAAATCCATCCCTTTAAAAGCTCAATTTTGAAGGGGCAGCTAGTACAGGGAGATGCTGACAACCACACAGATTTCCAGAAACTACATTTTCCAACCTACCACAACAGCTGTCTGGCCTCATATCAGCACCTCTATTTAACCCAAACACCCCCTCACAGGAGCGGCTTCATGCAAGTCAAATCACCAAATCCAAGAGCCACTTGCTACCAAGTTCATGTACTTAAGGGCCTTCAACAAGCAATAGAGATAGCTTTGAATTAACTTTACAACTTGTGATCTTGCTTCTGAATAAAGATAACCTAGTCATCACTCAAGGGTTTTTGTTGTTGTTGTTGTTGTTGTTGTTGTTGTTGTTGTTGTTTTTAAATGGTAAGGCAGGTGATTTGTAAGAAATACAGCTATGGAGGCAGCAAAGCATCTTTAACGTCGTCTAGGTACTCCATTAGACTTGTTGTGGGGGACAAGAATGAGGAGCAGCAGGGCATGAAAGCAGTAAATAATCCAAGACTTCACTCCGCACACCAGGTACTTCTATTCCTTCCTGAACTTTCTAGAAGAACAGCCATTTGAAGATAAACTTGATAAAGGAGAGTTTTTACAAAAGCAGGCAGCAAGAGAAAGAAGCATGACCCCATAGTTAAAAGTTTGTATTACTTGGGAAAAGAGCGTGTAGTGTAGTCTGATGATTAGCCCACAGGGCTCTCTACTATTTTGATTCTCTTCCAAACTAAAACATACCACACTGAAGCTAAAACATAAAAACATAAAATAAACTGAAGCTTAATGCTTAAAATATACATGCAATATATATGACATTATATATACTATATATAGTGAGATACATATGATGAGATCCTATGTATATGTACCTATTTTACATATATATGTATATACATATAATATATATATCATATATATATTACAATCTCCTGGGAAATGTGGAAGTGTTTCCTTTTCACTATTGAGTTTAAGCTTATTTGAGAAGACAGGAAAGTCTTACCTAGGTACAAGGATGCGTTTTCTTTCTTGACATTGTCATCTAAGTAGGTTGGTCCCAAGGTATAAATAGGTGTGGAACCCATCCCAATGAGAATCTGTGCACAAATGAATAAAGCCACATAGACCCAATGATTATTTCCTCCTGAGTCCTTCAGGCAGGCGGGAGGGTCCGAAGGCGCCGTGGAGTTGCCATTCTGACACAGACCATCGTTTGAAGCAGAGGCATTCAACTCTTGGATCTGGTAGGGAGGGGAGATGAAGTGAGGTAAAGCAAAGAGGGCAGCCCCCACGGCAATGAAAAGTCCACCCACGGCCAGCCACAGGGGCCTCCGACCCCGGCCGCCAAAGTAGCTGACGAACACCACGACCACCAGGCTCCCAATGTCAAAGCAGCTGACCAGCAGCCCCGACTCGGAACTCTTCAGACTGTAGCGCCTTTCGATGGTGGTGATGACACTGCTCAGGTACCCAGACACCATTAACGCCTGGATGAAGGTCAGAAAGCACATGCAAACCAGGAAGCAACGGGAATCAGTGAGGACCACATAGAGGCACCTTCTCCCCTGGAGCGTGGCCAAAGTGGAGGACACCGACACAGCTTTGCTGACTTCCACCTTGTGGTTACATTCCATGAGCCCTGCCATCTCTGCGGAAGTGGAAGGAGCAGAGGGACTGGGGGCCAGCCGTCTTGGGCCTTGCTTCAACACCTGATGGCCCAAAGAATCTGTACAGCCCATGGCCGGCTTGGCTCCTGCACTCGCAGGACTGAGGTCTGGCCGGCAGGAGGCGCTATTCAGGACCGGTAAACTCTTGGACCTAAAGGTCTCTGGGTCGCACTTCTCGTAGACAGCTCCTACTGTGGCTTGTGCTTCCAGCTGCTCTCCCGCCGGGGGCTGCAGCCCAGTGCCTTCGTCCATGGCTCTTAAAATTCAGGTTCGATCGCTGATCGTACTCAGGGACTCCGGCGCTTTTCATTCACCAGCACGAGGGGCCGAAGTCGGGCCCACTCAGTCGTGCCCACCAGGGACCGGGGCTGGGGATGCAGAGCCGCGCAGCAGGGCATCCTCACCAGCAGAGAGGCACCCAGGACATCCTGACCGCAGATGCGGCCCCGAGGCTCCGCAGCCGCGTGCCCCGGGTGGCAGGGGTCCGCGCAGTCCTGCGATGAGCCCTGCTTGGGGTCCACCTCGGGGCGGTAGCTCGCGGCAGGAGCGTTGCGCGTCCCGGGCGCATGCCCTCCGCCGCCGCGGCTCGGCCAGCCGCCAGGAGCGAGTACGCCCCGTGCCCAGAGTGGGGGCGCTTAGCGCTGTTGCCTGAGCCGCATACCGCCCGGCAGGCTGGGCCAGAGGCGCCCTGTCCTCGCCGCCTCGGCTTGCGACACCCTCGGGCGCAAAGATGCCAACCTGCAAAGCAGAGAGAGGGCGGTCAGCGAAGGGCAGCTGCGGCTGGGGCTGGCGTCCCGGCGCCCCGGGGGCCAGCGCTGGGTGACTCCGACAGTCCCAGATGGGACCGAGGGGCGAGCGAGGAGAGAAGCCCGGGAGGAGGAGGCGGCAGCAGGCTTGCAGCCTCTAGTGCCCGAACAATAAGCAGCAGGCGGTCGGCAGAGACCCTCCCTCATTGTCTACCGTGGACCTGCCCCCGCCCCGCCCCTTTTGCCTTAAACAGAGCATCGGTTTTATATGTTAATAATTATCAACCTGGCAGCCCTGACTCAGAAGCAGTGTCTTTTATTCGAGTGAACTAATTGTAACCTTTTGCTACTCCTACTCCATTACTCAAAATAGAAAATACCCAAAAGAACAAAGGAAAGTTTTTTTGTTTTGGGTTTTCGGGTTTTGGGGTGTTTTTGTGTTGTTTTTTTACAAACACAGTACATTCCTAGTACCGATTTTTTAAAAAGAAAAGAAGGGGGGTAACGCTACGTGTATAGAAATGTGTGTACACACTTGTGCGCAAGCACGTGTGCGCGACTGTATGCGAATCCGTCTGCTTCATCAATTAGAGACACGTATGCAAAGCCCAAAGCAGCCGCAAAAAGGTCAACGCGCCAGCCTCTTTATTCCCAACACTAAAAATAACCCCCCAGCCCGAAAGAACTATTCAGTTTCAAATACCAGGGGCATTTGAGGCTGCGGCCCACACCAAGTCCCAGCGCTCAGTGTCACGTGAAACCGAAAATCAGTTTGCTTTGCGGAGGGCTGGGGAAGCAACAACCAAACAAAGAGATGCCGGCACGTTGTCACAGAGCTCGCTAGGAGCCCACCGAGCAGTCTTGGCACGAGGGGGCCGCGAAAGAGGTGTGCTGTTTACATCGAGCGCACCCCGCGAGTGGGGGCCCGGGGTGCGTGCGCGCGAGCGCGCGCGCGCACACACACACGCACGTACACACACACCGGCGAGTATGTGTCAGAACCCCTCGCGCGATCCTGCATCCAGATCGAATTCAGCAAGAGGCGAAAACAGGTGTGTCCCCGGGGTAAACCCCCGCCCCTAATCTTGGGGACTCCCACTCCCGTCCTGCGGCTTGGGGTGATGTGCACCAGGTGGGAGACAAGAGCCGGACTTCGCCGCACTGGGTTTCATTTCACGGTTTTGTGATGATGCTGAGAAGAAAGGAGGAAGGGTAAGGGAGAAAGGCGGAGAGCCCGGGTGGCCAGGGCGGCCGCTCCGGCGGCTCCCTCGGCTCCCTCGGCTCTGAGGGGCCAGACCAGCTCCCGGATTCCCGGCCTGCCAGCCGCTCACACCCCGGGCTTCCCCGCCGCCTCCTTGCCCAGGCGCCTTCCCGGGGAACCCCACCGGCGGCCACGCGCCGAGCGGGGGAATCCCGGCAAACTCTCTCGGCGCTCCGCCGGCGGCAGAACCGCTGCCTGCGCGGGCACCCACACCACAGCGCCGGCTCGGAGGGACACACGGTTCCTGGCAGGGAGCTCTCCGAGCCTGCGTGGAATCCCAGGGACACCCCTGCGCGCGCACACACACACACGCACACGCACACGCACACGCACACACACACGCACAACACGCGGGAGGACACCTCGCCGCGCTGCCCGGGCGCACAAGCCGCCGCTACTCACTCCCGAGTCTGTCGGTTAGAACGTCTGGCTGAGAGTGGAGCGGCGCGAAGTGGGGACTGTGGAGGCGCTGGAGTAGTTGGGAGCCGTCTGGGGAGGCAGCTTCGGTCCAGCGGCGGCGAAATCCGTGAAAGAGACTGTGAGTCAGGCTGAACTCTTACCCCCACCCCTCGCCTGTCACCCAAGCCTCTCCTCTCCAGACACACGCGCACAGAGACGCGCCCGGAGCGGAGCAGCAGAGGGCGCAGGCGCGCGGGCGACCGCCCAGCCCGGCGCGAAGGGTGCCCTTCACCTGCGCGGTGGGGGAGACCGGGGAGCATTGAGCATTGAGGCTCCGAGGGAACAGGTCTCCCAAAAAGTCAGCTGCTGAGCCAGAGAGCCCACTTGGAATAAAGAAATTATTTCTGTTCGTTTTTCCGTGCCGTGGGCATCCACAATGTCTAGGGACCAGAGTAGGCTCTGGGGAGCAAAGATGAACAGCTCAGGATCCCTGGACTGAGGAAACCTCTGTCCCCTGGAAGAAATACCCGCTAAGCAGCCTAAAACAACGAAGTAAGTTCTATACAGGATGCCACCGAAGAACCTAATATCCACTAGCCTCTTCCATATTCATTTCCAAGGCTGAAGGAAAGCCAAGCGCAAGAGCACGAGGTATGGTGCTCCAAGTGAGTAGGTAGAAGAGCCGCAGGGAGGTCTCAGGGATGCAGCAGAGGACTGAACGGCAAGGGTGGCAGAGTGGAAAAGGTCAGCAAGGGCTTCATAGGTTGTGTGCTGTCTGCACCGAAGGACCGGTGACATTCTGCCTTGCTCCCCACACTTGCTCCCCGACTGTGCTGGCAGTTGTGGGTGAATGGAGGCCCCACTGTGGGCACCGAGGCGAGTTAGGAAGCATGGTCTTGGGAGAAAGATGGTTCTCCTCTCAGACGGCGTTGGTTTTGACAGCCAAGTATACATGTCCCATAAATCTTTTTTTTTTTTAAGATTTTTATTTATGTATTTGACAGAGAGAGAGAGAGATCACAAGTAGGCAGAAAGGCAAGCAGAGGGGGAGGGGGAAGCAGGCTCCCTGCTGAGCAGAGAGCCCGATATGGGGCTCGATCCCAGGACCCTGAGATCATGACCTGAGCCAAAGGCAGAGGCTTTAACCCACTGAGCCACCCAGGCGCCCTGCCATAAACCTTTTTTAAAAAGATTTTTATTTATTTATTTGAGAGAGAGAAAGAACACAGAGGGCGAGTGAGAAGGAGAAGCAGACTCCCTGCTGAGCAGAGAACCCGCTGTGGAGCTTGATCCTAAGACCCTGGGATCATGACCTGAGCCAAAAGCAGATGCTTAACTGACTGAGCCACCCAGGGTCCCCCAACTATTTTGATAGATGACACACAGGAAGTCTGGACAAGGGATATGAATTAAGAATTAGCAGCCGATGGGGCACCTGAGTGGCTCAGTGGGTTAAGTCTTTGCCTTCAGCTCAGGTCATGGTCTCAGGGTCCTGGGGTCGAGCCCCGCATCAGGCTCCCTGCTCAGTGGGGAGCCTGCTTTCCCCCTCTCTCTGCCTGCCTCTCTGCCTACTTATGATCTCTCTCTCTCTGTCAAATAAATAAATAAAATATTTAAAAAAAAAAAAAAAAAGAATTAGCAGCCAAAAGGTGGCTTTACGTGAGTAAGGAAAATCAGGTGGACTGAGCAGAGGAAGGACAGGACCAGGGGTCACCACAAAGAAAAGGAGAGGAGGAAAAGCTAAGGACAGCGATTAGAAGCAGTGGCCAGAGAGGTATGTGATCAGAGAAGTCACAGACACCATAGCGGCAGAAAACTTTAAGGAGTTATCAGAAGAGGGAAAGGCTGCAGAGAAGTAAGAAAGGATAACTGAAAAGAAACCATTAGCTGTAGTAGATGGGAGGACTCTGTTGAATTTGGAGACAAGGAAGAGGTGACCTAATAAAGGAAGGGAATTGCCTTCTACAACTGCCATGCCTATGCAGGCCACTGCCGTCATGACAAAGCCACTTCACTGACCCTTGGCCTTATCCAATGAGCGCACTGTCTCCACTTTACAGACACGATGAGTAGAGTGTAGAGAGATTACGCTGGGGAGGGCACACAGCTAGTCTATGGAACCCATGTGTTCCTAAAGCCCATTCTCTTGACTCTGACTCTATAATCTCTCTTATAATCATATAGCAGCTTGACTTTCCAGTACACCTTGTATCTGTTAATTATCCCACTTTGGTCCAACAACTACCATTCACAGTCAATCCTTAGAGAACAAAATAGGCCACCTGACACCAAAGAATGGTTAGGGTGTGTTTGACATTCATGTTGAGATAGCACTGATCTCCTGGCAGCTTCCAGACTGACCAAACAGGGTAAATATATTCCTTTCTTCATCCCCTACCACCATCCCCTCCTCCTGAGATCTCGATTAAACCCACTGTTAATTTTCCACAAACAGGCCAGATGACTCCAGCTGCCAGCCCTGCCCAGATTTTAGTCCCCTACTATTGGGAAGGTGGGCAAAAATATGAGTCCCTTCTTGAACCTAAATACTCCTCTGAGCTTATTCCGGATCCAAACAGATTCGATCTGCCTCCTATGACATCCTTCCAAGCTCTTTGGCCCATTCTCTCATTTCGGCCCCAGCCCCAAACATGCGTTGTTCTTCAGCAAATTCAGTCTGTTGCATTTGGTGTTAGCAGGGGGTTTCCCTGCTGGAAAGTCAAATAATCATGTCCCTGGAACATGCTGTGTTTCTTCCTGGTCAATTACCATAGTCAAACTAAAAACAACTCTAAGAACCTATAGATATTTTTTTATTTCCCCTAACAGAAAGATAATGATTCATAGACAGAATTTAAAAGGTCCAATTAGCTCTCCATACAGGAAACAAGAAGAAAACATTCATCAAGAGACATCTCTTTCGCTTTCCCTTCCATAGTTAAGTATGACTTCAGAAAAGGCCAGTTGTGTCTCCATCAGCCCTCATCTTCAGATTCATAAAAGAAATGGATTCAGATCATGGGATTCTGCTATACCCATGGCTCTTTCACATAATATGAATGAGTACAATTGCCTGAACGGGGACACCTATCTTGTTAGGCATATGGGGATAAACTCTCTTCACATTTCCAGTTTGCTAATGCTTCTTCTAAGTCATTAATCAGTCGAACTTACACCTAAGTTTCTCCTTTCCAAACCTTCACATATTGAAGTTAGTCTTTGGAATTACCTATGGCATTCCATGGGCTTAAAAATCTGGCTACTCTAGAGAATGGAAC